GAGAGTGATGGGGTGTTGCGTCAGATGACCTGGCCTCCACAGTCACCGGACCTGAACCCAATCGAGATGGTTTGGGGTGAGCTGGACCGCAGAGTGAAGGCAAAAGGGCCAACAAGTGCTAAGCATCTCTGGGAACTCCTTCAAGACTGTTGGAAGAACATTTCAGGTGACTACCTCTTGAAGCTCATCAAGAGAATGCCAAGAGTGTGCGAAGCAGTAATCAAAGCAAAAGGTGGCTACTTTGAAGAACCTAGAATATAAGACATATTTTCAGTTGTTTCACAATTTTTTGTTAAGTATATAATTCCACGTGTTAATTCATAGTTTTGATGCCTTCAGTGTGAATCAACAATGCCAATAGTCATGAAAATAAACCAAACTCTTTGAAGGTGTGTCCAAACTTTTGGTCTGTACTTTATATATATATATGATTTCTTGTGTGTTTATTCTTTATGTTTATTCATCTTATCATTGTTTCGGTGTGGAACATGTACGCAAAGCATTTCACTGCGCGTTGTACCATGTATAACTGTGTTTGTGACCAATAAAGGCCTTGAAGCTTGAATTTTGAATCTTAAAATCCTTCCCTGGGGGAAACAACTCCCACCCAACCTGGAGGGAGCAATCCACCAGTTTTCGGCGGAGAACCCTGGCCTCAGATTTGGAGGTGCTGACTCGCATCCCTGCCACTTCACACTCGGCTGCAAACTGCTCCAATGAGTGCTGAAGGTCACAGTCTGATGAAGCCAGCTGTACCACATCATCTGCAAAAAGCAGAGACGCGATCCTGAGGTCCCCAAACACCTTCCCTACCATTGGATCCAATTCACCACTAGGTGGTGATCAATTGACAGCTCTGCTCTTCTCTTCACCTTAAATAATTCTTTTACATCAAATCATGTGTGCCACAGTTATTAGCACCCTTGATGCTAATACTTTGTACAACCCCCTTTTGCCAACAATTCATTTGAGTTGAGTTGAAGGTTACATTTTTCTACAATTTTCAGTGTGAGAGTATGCTTCTGTAATAAACATTGAATTTATTTTAAGGCTTTTAACACATCTTAACCAGGGGTGCCAATAATTATGGAGGGCGCTGTACCTCATGCTCGAACATGGCGTTTGTTATGCCCAGTCTATGACTAGCACAGAAGTCCAACAACAAAACTCCACTCAGGTTCAGACTGGGCAGGCCGTTCCCCAGATTTTGAAAAGAAAATTGTACCCTTGAAAATCGGTCATCATGTGAAGTTCTTGACGAGGGAATACATAAAACACAAGACCAACTATCAAATTAAATTTAGCATCACAAAAGTGTGAAGTCTTTTCCGTTCGAAGGGAAAACATAAAACTATAACAAGCCAACTACAAACCAGTCTCTGTCTTGGACATGGACAGCTTATGCTGTGCACACCTATATTAGCAAGAAGAAAATAATTCTTTATGTCAGCTCTTACTTCACATTACCAAACTGGTTTTAAAATTTGGGCATTTATGTTGGGTTCTCACTGGGTGCTCCACCTTCCTCTCACAGTCCAAAGACATGCTGAGGTTAATTGATGATTCTAAATTGTCCATAGGTGTGAATGTGAGAGTGCTTGTTTGTCTCTCTGTACGTTGCCCTGTGACAGACTGGCTATCTAAGCAAGCTGGGATAGGCTCCAGGCCCCCCACAATCTGGTCAACTGGATGTGGATAAAGTGGTGTTATGACAATGGGTGCGTTGATAATATAACATCACATTAATAAAATCCAGGTCCAGCAACAGGCATATCATTATGGCAATAGAAGCTAATAGAGACCATGAAGAACTCTATCATCTGTCTTTTGCAATCATGGACAATGACATTTTTTGTCCTCTTTCACCCACTGTGCATAAAGCCTACAATTTCACACCTACATACATGGGTATGCGCACATGCTGTACATTCACTATATCCTTACCTCTAAGACATGTTCTGTTTGTTGTTCACGGTCCAGTTTCCGGGAGGTTGTAGTGATCAGACCTAAGACAGAAAACAGCAGAGAAACTATTTAAAAAAGAGAGTAAGACACACACACAAAGTAGTGCCAGTGAAATATGCAAGGTGACATGATACTGAGCTGGTGTAATTAGAAAGAATGAGAGAAGGAGAGAGAAGTAAATAAAATACATACATAATTATTTAAATATTTTCTTCATACAAGGTGATTATTCTGTATGTTAACAAATGGCGAAAAATAACAAAAGAAATGTATGACAGTAAGAAATACAGGAAAGTGAAGGCATACTGGCCTTTTGAAAGCCACCACACGAACCCCATTAGCCCGAGGCTACTGTCATTCATTATAAGGATCATTATAAGGTATAGTCATACATGCTGTATCTGTGAGTTCTTTATTTATGTTTATTTGTTTTTTCAGAGCAGTTTAGGCTATCCGGATCTAACATAATTGAATATCATAATAATTGCAGATTTTTATGTTAGCCTTTATATGTACAAAAAAAAAAGTATAAAATTTTTGTGTTTTTGCATCCATCTCATTAGAGATATATTTTCATATTTGTGCAGGAAAGACCTGGAATCTGGAAATATCAGAGCCATAATGGTGGAATACTGTATCACTTATCTTACTGCCTACTAAGTGCCTATTATGTTCGTGCAAACCCTAAGAAACAACATGTAATATTGGAAACTGTAAGTTCTGCTGTTGATTTTGATATGTGATGGTTATGGATTTGGATGCACAGGTGCTAACTATAATTAAATATGATGTATATTCAACTGACTTTTTCTTGTCAAAACTTTTCACACAAACAAAGCTCATTCTTGATAACTGACTTCTGTTTCCACAATATTATCATTATTTTTATATTTGGAGAAATGACTAGGCCAAATGAGTTGCTTGTTTTGATCACTTAAATATGGTCATTTCAATCCTGTTTGCTTTACGCATTTGACTGCCTTTCCTACATATATCATCCATTCCAATACAACTTCACTGACTCTTGCCTATTCCATGTTTTGACGAATCCAGACATTGCCCATAGGGTTCATTTGAGATATCATATATTGCATGATAGATTAACAAACCTTTGTGGATGTTTTCAAATATTTTCAACCTGCCCTAACTCTTGAATGCTTAATCCAATTGCAATCAAATTTGGTGTGCAGATAGAGACCACGGATAAGTGCGCAATTTAGTGCAGTTCTGAAAGAGTGCACTAGTACAATATACAGCAATTCCTCTATACAATCCACGACTACTCTCATGCAATAGAGCCTACAAACATAGATCTACTTTGAAATGTCAAGCACATCTAGTTCTATTCAGATATCTGTTATCTGTTAATTTTGTTTTCATTTTTCCTGTAAAATTACATTAAAATACTGGCAGGTATAGTATTTGTAAACTACTTAAAGTGTTATTAAGTGTATAGTTGATTTCAGTACACTACAATGTGTGGTTTACTGCTCATTACTGTGACTAGACCTTCTGGTGATATACAGTATCTATATAATGTTGCTGCTATAAATAACATCAACATTAACTTAAGTTACCTGTAAAATACTTTCTTTCTTTGAAAATATATAAACACTACTGTGAATTGCTGACATATACCATAACTAACAATCTAGGAAACAGGTCTACCAACTCTGTGTACCATATAAAAATGCATATACCACTAAAAAAACATTTAAAACAATCTAACATAAATAATAAAGCAATTTATATTTTCATGGAAATTTATTCAAAGGCAGTAATGCATGACAAGTTTACTAAAAAATGTTTTAGAAATCTATAAAAAAATTATTTACCTTCATAAAAAAATACACATAAAAAATTAGAAAGTCCATGTAAAAGTAACAATAATAGTCTTTACTGCCTAAATGGAGTTACTAAACATATCTTTGTGAACTGCTATGGGTTGTTCAATTCAGACTGCCAGTTTTCACAGCAGCCTGTGGTTAACAATTACTCTTTGGGACCAAAAAATGCATCAGATTTCACAATTTTTAACCATATTTCGAATAACCAAAACACGACTGTTAGAAATTGGCTGTATTTTTTGCAGCATTTCATCATAGTGTATGCATTTTTTTAACCATGTAACATTAATTCATTTTTATTGTGGCATATGTCTACTACTTGGACCTGAAAGCTCTCCATCCACAGTGTAGCAAATTATGACCACCTGTTGTTCAGAAGAACATTCATTTTACAGAAAACAGGTACCTTTGATTCTCATTGTCCACAGTTCACACAGCCACCATAATGCTGACATACTGAAACAACCGCAAGTGGTAAAAACTGCCTGGAATTCAATAATTGCAACAGGGGTTTCTGTTGGCCCATTGCTAGATAAACCTTAACATTTTTCTTGGCCACACAAGCCCTGGAAAGCACAACACAACAACAACTAAATTAATGATTTGAACTTAAACATTAACAGTGCCACAAGTCTTTACTTTCGCCAAAGTGGAACTGTTCGTAATCTGTGTGCAGCTCTAGTGCTTGAGTGTTTGAGTCTATGTGGGCTTGAAATGCTAAAATAAAAAGCATGATAAGTACATGCTATTGTAATCGCACATGCTGCTTGGAAGCAATTCCATTTTTTTGTTGTTTTTTTTGTATTTATACATTTTAGCAAACTACCAAAAGACAGGAGAACCATTAATGTCTGTGAATTGTATGTGGGCATTAAACTGAAAATAAAAACACAACATGGAATAAATAATCACCACCGCTAGCAGCCCGATGCTGTCACAACACACACATTTGTTTCACATTTCTTCATTATACCATCTGTGCTTGGTTTGTGCACATTTTGTAGGAAACAGCCTGATAAGGCAAGCACATTTATATGCCACTAATTTTTCAATGAACTAAGTGCAAGAATGTCTGTGATATGTGGAAGAAAGATGTAGATGTAGAAAGGTGTAATAATAATAATAATAATAACAACAATAACAACAACAACAATAACAATAATAATAATAACGTTGTAAAGTCTGCATCAGAGTCATCATTTGCATGAAAATTTCAAATTAAGACAGCCCTGAACCTTTAGGCCAGGGGTATTCAATTAAAAGTCACTGAGGTCCAGTCATTAAAATTTCCTCCAAGTAAATCGAAGTCCAGTTTGTGTCTTATAGCCTTCGCATAAGGCCACATTTTCATGGTTTCAACAATACCTACTGTCAATTTTAAATGCAGGATATGTTTAACTGAATGCACAGCTAGGTCTTTTACCATATATATATAAGTAGCCCCAGGAAAATAAATGTAAGGCCTTTATTCCAGATGAAAGAAACCAAAACCTCATTTTAAAATAAATTTTAAAAAGTGTAAACAGAGCCGAAAAACATGGGTATCTCTTAAATTAAAGAGGTTCCAGCCTAAAGAACTGAAGGCCTCCACTTCAAGCAAAAAAGTCAACATCCTCAGAAAACAATAAATGAAAGGTTTGGTTTGCACGTTGCTGGGCTGTAAATGTGGTGATGAGTCGGATAGACCTGTCATACAGGGCTTGCAGCTCGGTTATTTTGCGTGCCCTCAGCTTGGACTTCAGGGGATAACTTTGCTCAAAAGAGCTGTGCTTTGCTTCATAGTGACACTTCACGTGGCCACTTTTGACTAATGCCATGTTTTCAGAGCATATGAGCCACGCTGGTTGTGAACTGTCTGGTGGAGGAATGACAATTCATTTCACCGTCCACTCACTGTCCACAGAGCTGCTGGTCGTGCAGGATAAGCAAACGATTTGATTGGCTGGACTGAGTGGAGCTATTGCTGTATTAACTGGAGTAGCAGCGCCCACTGTCTATAGCCGCAACCGTCAGAAAATCTGTTCTCGTGAATTTTTCAGAGATTGGTCATGGTTCCGGGTAGAACCCTCACTCGGTCCGGATCCGGACCGGGGTCCACCATTTGGTGATGCCTGCTTTAGGCCCTTAGTGGAAAGACACCTCATAGTCTGAGATGCAGAGATTGGGCTTGTACCATAAATGGACTTTCAACGCTAAGACAAGACAAGACAAGACAAGGCAAGGCAAGACAAGACAAGACAAGACAAGACAAGACAAGACAAGACAAGACAAGACAAGACAAGACAAGATAAGATAAGATAAGATAAGATAAGATAAGATAAGATAAGATAAGATAAGATAAGATAAGATAAGATAGACTTTATTGATCCTTCACCACGCAAGAAGTAGGACGATAAAAGTAGGACACGTGACCCGAAGCATACAGTCAAAAACTACAAAAAAATGGTTTAAAGACCACAAAATGAATGAGCTGAAGTGGCTGAGTCAGAGCACACAATCCCTGTGCAAACTGGCAGTTTTGCAAAGAAGAATGGGTAAAAATTGTGGTGTCCACATGTGAAAGGCTGCTTGAGACCCAAGCCACATTTGCTTAATTCTGTAATTGCAGCCCAAGGTGTGTTTATTAAGTACGATCTTAAAGAGAGTCAATGCGTCCTTAAAAAAAGAAAAAAACACAATTTTTACTTTGATGTTAAAGATTCTTTGTCATAAATTTTGTCAAAAAAGACAAATGAAATTGTACATGATGTAATACCGAAAAGCAATAACACGGAAAAACATACAAGGGAGGTGAATAATATCTAATGCACTTCACTTGCTTATATAGAACTATGTCCAAGCAGTGTAAATTCACTCTACACTACACAGTGGCAAGTTGTATCATTGGAGTAGAGCCATTCAGGTTGGAACCTTAAAACTGATTCTGAAGAACAATAATGATACCAAAAGCTGCACCTCACAAGCTGACTGAATTGGTTCTTTAGGTTTGTTGCATATGAAAACCAAGAAGTGCCAATATGTGTTTTTGAGATGGTCATCAGTACACTGCATGTTTAAGGGGTTCATGCTCAGTTGTAGCACTGACTGCTTATTTTGCTCATTGTATGTCTTCCAGTATATAAAAACATCTCATGGACCTGTTAACAGGGTAAAAAAAAATGTCATGTAAAAGCAATGGGCAGCTGTGGCTCAGG